TGCATACCCTCGGTTGGAAATCGTCGAATGTGAGTCTGTCTGAGTGTTTTACTTCTGGAATTTTGACCAGGCTGGTTAATTGGATAGATTCTATCGCAGCTCTAGGTGAGGGTCAGGACAAGATGTGCGGTTGGCAATGAGGTGGATACTTTAAAATCTATACCAAATACGGTATTTCGTTGACCCCATGAAAAAATAGCCGTTGCTGCTTCTTACATCTCTTCATCAACCTCGACCATCAACGAGCATCACACACATTGTGAACGTTTCAACTTGGCTGAGAATTTGTTATCTGTGAATATACATACAATTACATCTATGGGACCTACTCGTCTTATTTCTATGTAGGATTTTCAGGCAACGAGAAATAACAAAAACCTTGGCGTTCGAAAGAAAGCCTATTACCAACCTTTCTACTTGTTTAGAAATCTATATTCCTAGAATTCTAGGGTTAAAATACTCCGCGGATCCGACATGCTGGAAGTGATTAATTTCGCAGAATGTTGAGTGAAATATGCCATTCTATATTCCCTCTTGTAATCATTTTTATTCTATTGACTCAAAATTAACAGTGTAAACACTCATTTTACTATGTCCAACATTTACATACACTTGTATTATTATCAATTCAGTCTATAATATCTATACACTAGAGATATTTTCATATTTCATTCAAGTTTTGAAAAAGGATATATATAAAAGAGAAGGATTTATGGCTTAAAACATAATCCAGTGTAGTTTACCCTAGATCTCGTCTATATTTTATTTGCCTGTTCATTTTAGCTAATAAATATCTTATTTATATTTTACTCTTCCACAATATTTGTTTATATCCTTTATGACTTCAATATTGTATCAATTCAGGTTCTACTTATTCTAAGAATGTGACGATTCTTTAGACCAGCCCTGGCCAACCTGAATGACGCCACGGGCCGCACGGAATCGTAAACAAGGTCTACAATTTTTTTATTTTATTAAATAAAAAAATTATTATAATTATTTCAATATATTTTCTGTTTTTGAATATACAGACGAGAAATGAAAGTTATAAAAGAAATATAAAGTTAAAAGGCGAGCCGCATGCGGCCCGAACCCCGCGGGTTGGCCAGGCCTGCTTTAGACAAACTACACTGAGGATAAGATGTAGTTTTAATGCTACATCTCAACCAATTATTTATTGAGCTCCCAATGTTTCAGTGATTCGCTGTCCCTTTCCTTAGAATAATAATTATTTTTTAAACATATCTCCTACTTATATATATGTACACGACTTTCTGAAGTACATGTATAGCTTCACGTATTTGTATATGTACGTGACGCTTCACATGTATTTTAGAAAATCGTGTACATATCTTGGCGTTCAGTAAACTGAAATATTTGTAAAATAAATTATATTTTGATCCAATATATGCTTTTTTAATTAAATATTTATTTATGAATTGCTCTATTTTCAGAAATATATAAGTAAAAGAAAGGATTTTATGAAAATATATCATCCCCTGAGGAGAGTGAAAACAACTCACTGAAATGTCGTAAAATCAATGTTTACACTGTTAATTTTGAGTCAATAGAATAAATATGATTACAAGAGGGAATATAGAAGTTCACTCAACATTCTGCGAAATTAGTCACTTGCAACATCCGCGAGGTAGTTTAATCCTAGAATTCTAGCAATATAGATTTCTAAACAAGTAGAAACATTGGTAATAGGATTTTCAAAACAACAAATAATCTTCATTGTAGTTATAAGTTCAACCAAATGTTGTTCGTATATAAACTTCATACTATAACTTCAAATAAAGATTTATATTCTCATTGATAAGTTTATCTAAAATATTCATCTATTTCAGATAAGGAGCTTTTTGTGTATGCTTGGAGCTTATAAATTTTATTTCCAATAAATAAACTAACCCAGAAAATATAGTTATTTGTTTACGACTTTGCATTTTTATCATTTTTTAAACATAACTTTTATTGTCTCATTTTAAGTGTAATAAAAAGTTAGCGTAAAAAATTAAAAATCACTAACAAATTGATTGGATATTTAGAGTTTAAATAAACTCGAGTTAATAAAATTTTATGGAGCTTTTAAAATTTTATTGGGGAATATCCAGGGAGGCTGGTATGGACATCTGAGGTCAATAAATTTATGATCCACAAAATGATATTCTTTTTAATATAAATCTGATATTTCATACATTAGATCATATTGTGGTATTTTGTTTATACAAGGTAGGATCGAAAAGTTCCTTAACTTTTTCTTTGATTAATTATTTATTCATATTATAGTAATATAAACATCAAATTTTTCAAAATAGGAGCCATGGTTATCTACACATTTTTCCAGCGTGAAAAAAAGCTGTTGAAATATTAGTTCAAAGTCAATTTACACAAAATTTAATATTTGCCCTTTGCTCAAATGATGACATTGCAGAAATCGACGCGACCTAATACTTGCAACAAAAATATGCCTAAAATGAAAACTACATATGCGCATTTACTGGCTTTGATAAATTAAATTATAGTTTAGACTTTGTTCTTTACAGTAAAATAAATTATACATTTTTCAAAAGTTGTTTTATATTTTAATTTTTAAAAGTTCGAGAACTTTTTGATCCTACCGTGTATTATTTAAACAATAAATAATATAAATATAAAAAGAAAGACCTTAATCATCGTTAAAATAGATTATCATACTAAGCGCCATCTATTGGCCATCTCGGCAATCTAGTGGACCAGCTTTGGCAAGCTCTGAAGACCAACCTGGATAGCTAGATGACGCTTAGGTCTAACGTCTATTTTTCCTACAAGATAATGATCTTTCATTTTAAAGATCTGTGGAGCTTGGTGTTGTGGTGGATTATGGACAGGCCACTGATAAAAATATAAATATGTTTATAAACTAAATTAACTTTGAAAAAATGAAAGAAAAAATAAAAGATAAAAAGATCAGGCGTTGAAATCAAAATTAAAAATAGCATATCCTGACCAGGAGCACATGTGCTTTACAGAAGGCAGAACGCCATCTGGTGGAACAGAAATCAACTAATCATTGATTTAGCCTGTTCCCTGAATGATTAATAAATAAATCAATGATTAGTTGATATCTGTGTTCCACCAGATGGCGTTCTGCCTTCTGTAAAGCACATGTGCTCCTGGTCAGGATATGCCATTTTTATTTTTAAATTAACTTTATATATAAAAAAGAACGTATTCAGATCTGTAAAGAAAAAAAAACATATTTTTCTAAAAATATTTCGATAGATTGTGCCTTCTCTTTATCAATTTATTGCACTGTAAACTTAATCCACAAATTCTTGTAGATCACATGAAAACAACTTTGTCATTGGTCAAAAATAATTAATGTTAATGATAATAATTGTTTTTATGTGATCTACAAGAATTTGTGGATTAAGTTTACTGTGGAATAAAATGATAAAGAGAGAAAGCAATCTCTCGAAATATTTTTATAAAAAATGTTTTTTTTTCTTCACAGATCTAAGTACGCTATTTTTTTATATAAGCTTATTCAATGGATCGCTTTCGACTCAAAATAAAGATAGGAAATAAATAGCGGCCGCTGGAAGAAAGTATTGTTCAAACAGCGCATGAGACCAGGTGTTCTCTCAACTCGCGCCCTGGTTGAGACGTGATGTAGCCGTCACAGATCAAAATAACCTCCAGGCAAAATTTCCATTCATACTTGCGCCAAAGAATTGGTACTTTACTTTCCCAATAAAACACTTTTTTTTGGTGGATTCTGAAGATTTCATGAATTCCTAATGACTCTGAAGAAATCAAGTTCAGCTCTGGAATGACAAGGACTATCATAGCGAAAATATGATCTCTAGGTCGGCTTTTTATATGTTCCTGATATTTTTCGAAGACTGTCGGGAATTAGCGTTTAGTTTTCATGGACCTCCATCTCTCAACCTTACACAACCTAACACAATAGTTGCCATTTGGATATATATGTCAGTCTTATCCATAGATTGATACTAATACATTACAGTATAATTTATCCGTTCTGATATATAAATGCATGTATGCGATAAAACAGAAAGGGCTTTATTCTGTCATTAATGACTTTAAAAGTGCTAGTGTGTATAAAAAACCTTAAGTATACACTTACGTATATTAATAAAAAGAATATAACGCGTCATCTATACACTAAGTATATAACAAATGAAAACATTGACGCGAGTGTTGCTTTAACAAATATATCAAAATTCTACTTTCTTCATACGATAAAAAATATATATTGGGAGGGCTTGGCAAATCAGTGGTGAACCCTCCCAGTATATTATTGCATTTAGTTCAATTTTATATTACATTTAGTTTATATATATAAATATAGAGTTATAGAAACTGAGGTACATAAAATACTCCGAGATTCATTTGATTAAAATATTCCCATTTGTTTAGGGACACGTTCTTGTATTTGCCATTCACAATCAAGAAATTCAAAGTTTATCAAAGCTTCTTTGTTGAGCCAAACACTTTAAGTATTCTAGAAAGAGTCGTATTTATAATTATGATGTGAATTTATTATAATTATTCAAATTAAAAATTATTATCTTAATATGTGCGTGTGTGTTTCTGAATGGTTAATGCCTTATTAAAACTGCTGAATGAAGATAATTGCAGCTGAGAAGGCGTGCAACAAGAAGAATATGTTGAGAATGCTAGTTGACCTTAAAGCGATTTTCTCCTAGTTCTGAAGTGGTGGAAGAGGCACCTTGTATATATTCATTGTACATTGTTATATTAATCTAATCATAATTTTAAAACAATAGTGCAGACTGCGCACCTTTGTATGTATAATACAATATAATGCGGCTCATAATTGTAGAACGACATTTGAAAATTATTCCTCGTGTTTTTCTTTTTGAAGAAAAATCGAAATTTATTTTAAGGAGAAATAACGAGTATTTCTAACCTTAAGGATGAAGTATGATAGGATGAATTGTGAATAGTAATGATGAACGGAAAAATAAAAGTGTCCAGGGATGGGAATCGAACCCACAGTGTTCCGCTTACTGGGCAGATGCCATGTCCACTAGACCTTTGTTATGTATTGACAACAACAAAAAAAAAAAAACAACTTTATTAGGGCGTCTTGCCCTATACGGATTCGCCGTTGAATTACAAACAATATTAAACACAGGGGAAAAGGGAGAGATAAAGTATTTACATTTGAGGTATGGCAAACAGGGTGACTTTAAACATATATTACACATATATCATTAATGGGGAAGAGAAATAAAATGAATGATAAATACAAAAGTATAACATGAGAATATGAAGAACATTGAAAACAATATGAAAATTACATTAACAAAGGATAAGTGGAAAACATTTGGTGATTATAAGAAAAATAAAAGGCATTTGTGAAAAGGCAATAATCAGTAGGCAAAAGGTAATATATACAAAAAGGAAAATATGTAAATAAGAATGAACATGTAAATCTTTTTTCTTTTTTTAAAAAGTAATGGCAGGAATAAAGAATGGTCATTTTAAAGAAAAAGAATCAAGGTGGACAAAAACAAAAGTTAAAATTTACATATATGTTGGTAATGATAAATTTACATAGTTAGGTGCGCTTTTAGATATAATTACATATGAATAAGGTAAAGTGCGTAAAAATACAAATCCTAAAAACAAAAACATTGTGAAATCAAATTAAATAAGAAAAGATCAAAATACAAAAAGTTTGGGAATTTAAATATAAGATTGCAATGTGAAGCTATGGGGTATTGTGGTTATTAGCGAAAAAAATATATATAGTGGAAATATGATTTAAAAAAAAAAAAAAAACTGTTTTAGCTATATCTTATTTCCATTAGTATTGACAACTTGGCCATTTACAGCTTCATAAACTACACCTTTTACAAAAAGTTTGTTATCTCTCAACTTTGATCGAGTGCCTTTTTCAAAAAGTTCTTTCCTTTTAGCAATAAGAATAAGCCGTTGATCTCTAATCTTTTTACTGTAGTCTTTGCTTATGTAAATTTTGCTATCTCTAAGTTTAGTCGTATTTTTGAATAATTTAATTCTGTCCTCATATTCAGGCAATGAAATCAAAATAGGCGATTTATTAGCCTTTCCAAGTCTATGGCATTTAGTTATACTTATATTCTCTAGAATCAGCATTTTTTCTTTTATAATAGATTTAACTTTTTGAAGACTTTCAGCTGGTCCTTCATTCGCTTCTCCCTCAACTCCGTAGAAAACGAGATTTGGCTCCCGCAGCTTCATCTCCAGAAAGTCGGTCCTGGCTTCAATTTCCCTTAACTTAGTTACATTCTCAGAGACTTTCTCGTTCGTAGCAGCCGAGGTTTCCACACAAGTTGTTAACTTCATTTCAACTCCAAGAAGTCTCTGGTCCCACTCTATTATTCTTTTCTCGATGTTTGACAATCTCGTATCTATTCTCTCGCCAATATTTCTGATCTCTGATGACATTTGGACGATCATTGTCTTCAACTCAGTATCAGCCGATTTCTTCCCTGTGGGGGTTGGCTCTGTTAACAAAGTTGTCTGCTTTTTGGGGCCAGGGTTAGGCTCAATACCACTGATCATTAGAAGTAACCAAATGACCTGGATACAATAGCCACTGGATATGTTCAGTAGTAGTAGTATAGGAGTGCCAACACATCCAAATCCATCGTTTGATTTCCGATACATTCTCCGTTTACATTTAACAAACTCTTGTATTAGGTATTCTGGCCGTTTGAAACAAATTATGATATGGAGAACTAGCAACAAGTATGCAAATTTCGGAATTTTCATCTCGTCCTTACAACTGTTTTATTATTATTATCTTCTAAATAAGTTATAACTTAGCTTTCCCCTTTTTTTCAGTAATTATCCGCTTTAACTAAAAAAAACATAAATTACTTACAAATTGTTCGGGAGCATTTTTCAATGCGGCCGCTTGCCTTGGCCTCCTGGCGGCGAATCGTTATGTATTGACAAGATACCAATAAGAATATGTTAAGTGTCAATTTGTCTTGAAGCGTTGGCTGTGATAACTTGCTATGGAATCAATGCGACCTAATTGGAATGTTCCAACTGAAGAGAAAAATGATTAACGAGGCAGATAGAAGATTCAGCCGATATTCCTGCCCTTGCAATACTTCGCGAATTCCCACCAGACGACTGCTGTGGGTGATCAACTCTGCTGTGACCACACGCCATTCGCTCATCTGACAACTCCTTTTAGATTTTCTCCTGAAAACTTCCTTGTCGTGTGGAGAGGTAAACGAGTTTATTAATGCAGAGATAAAATGTAGTTTTCTTTATACGTCTAAATAAAAAGTATACTTCTTTCTTATTATTTATTAAAACAGAGAGTCCTCAATCATTGCTAATCAGAGATACACTAACATAAGATGGAATATCAGGGAATTTAGAAGTAGTGAGTTGAAAGTTAAAGGTGCTCATAATGGGATCGCTTGGACAGTTTCTACGTCGTGACAAATCCAATTATGATACCTGTGTTTGGTGACTGATGACAATTCTGCACGTCTGAAAGGAAAACTTCGAGAGTTAGAATTTCTGAATTTATAAAGTTTTTTTTCCATGGCTAGATTTTTTGACTAATCATTTACAATGTGATAACGACTATAATATTCTTCTTGGTAAGATTTAGACGACAAGACGGAATAAAAGAAGAAGAGTTTCTTTAATGGACATATATCGAAGCAAGCTTTCGGGCGAAAACCCCTTCAACAGGCGTGATTACAGTAACATAAGTGGTATTCTTGTTTATAGTACCACGTTTGTTACTGGAATCACGCCTGTTGAAGGGTTTTTCGCCCGAAAGCTTGCTTCGATATATGTCCATTAAAGAAACTCTTCTTCTTTTATTCCGTCTTGTCGTCTAAACATTTACAATGTGTTGATCGAATAAAATCATGGGCTAGAAAATATTTCACCAGTATACCTTTTAATATTATGAAATTAGAAGGGCTAGCAGTCATTATATTATTAATTAGAAGACCTTTGTAGCAGCGCAGTTAAATAGTCAATATACAAGTATATTTTCAAATGTATACTTGTATATATTTTCAAATATGAATAGTGATTTGAAGGGAAAATGGCTTGAGACGTGGCATCTATCTAGATGTTATTGTACAGATGTGACTTATCATCTGGCTCGCATCAGTTCGATACTCCATGTCGTGTTCATATTATAAGTAAATTCGTATCCACCAGATAGATCCACAAGATTAAATTAATTTCATATTTAAAATAGGATTTTCTCGGTTTTCAAACCAACTTATTAGATTCTTAATCAGTTATATTGGGTGGACCAGGCACCGTTTGTGTCCAGCAGAGTGTAAATGGCCCAACTAACTACGAGTGAGTTAGTATAAAGAGGTATATAGAGTTTAGTAAGTGGTCCAATGTACCGACAACGACAGAGATTTGAATCCTTCCCCGGTTTTCTTCAGCCTTCTTACATTCCTCCCAGCTACTCTATTCGGCCTTACTCTCCGTTTGTCTCTCATAGCTCCGCCGAAGATTCCTGCTCCGTACAGTTTACGTCCAGCCAGGCAAACTTCTCGACCCTTTTGTAGGGACATCCGCCGAGATCCTCTGAATCCGACTATAAATCTATCTCTTGGTACAGAACTATCTGCTTCTCGGAATGTGTGGTCCATCAAATCCTCACAGGAACCACAATCCTCGACTTTCCTTGAATGTAACTTGTTGTTGTTTCTTATCCCCTTGTGTGAAGATTACACAAATTCCATGAGTTCATGCTCCTCAACCTGTTTGATGATAAGCAGCGGCTTCTCTCAAAGGTCCTTTTTAGCGCATTTAATGCAAGCCAAAATGTGTTCTGGAGCTGCAGGTGCCAAGTTTAAATTTGGGCAAGTGGGGTAGATTTTGTTGTTATTTTCTATCTTCAATGACTTGATATGGCCTGTGTAGCTTGTTGTACCGTTATACCAACTTTGCGCTCTTTTATGAGATAATAAAGGTATTTTTACACAATATAGAGAAAACATTATGACAGGTTTGATTCATCATTAAATAGCTACTCTTTAACTTTTTGTTTTATTTATATTTCTTATAATTTTTGTGACCCACTGAAACTCTCATCTAATCATAGAAATAAGCAATATAGGATTGTTTATCCTTGACAACGGTGGCACTGTGAACCGTAGAAAAATAACTAAAAGATTGAAGTGTGACTATTTAATCTCCACAATATAATTTTTTTTACTTATATTAGGAGTGTAATTATTCAGATAACATCACAATGGTGGTTTTGTTGCATTTTAACTTTATAAGAATGAAATCGCCGATCTCTTTCTATATGGAAATTTGAGAAAATCTCTTTACATTTGTGACACACATCAATGCAAGAAGAGGAATATAAAATTGTATCCATACAATTCTAAATATATGTGGATATATAATGTATTGGCCAAACATGACTTGTGGTGTAAATAGACATGTCGAATAAACGTAGTGTGGAGATTTCGACCCACATATGCAACAATTTTTTTTTTTTTTTGAGAGACACTTCACCAATGTAAAATTGTATCCATACAATACTAAATGAATATGATATATAATATAATGGCTTGGCCACTAGTGTTGTAAATAGTCATGTTAAATAGACGTGGTGAGGAGAATTCGACGCACATATGCAACAATGGTTGTGTGTGGGACACATCACCAAGTGTAGTCAAGACCTGCCAGCAGGGGAAAACAACCTTCAAATGGCGCAAACATCGCACCCCCACCCTGAACTTAATTAAATGGCCTTCCGCGGTGTTTGCCTCTGGGAGAAAGCTCGAGAAGTATTTAATTAAAAATCTTAATTAGGGCATCACAACATCAGGCCTCTTTAGGGACCTGCCGATACCTGGATAAAAACTGCCTTTCTTCTTTGGCCGTTCTTGATAGGAAATTCTATTGAGTGTATAGAGAAGGTGCTCTAGAGTGTCTTGGAGCGAATATAATTTACCATTAGGATTATCAAATCAACAATGAGCAAAAGGGTTGGCCGATAGCCCATTTCATTTTAACGTAGTGAGATATATTA